GGGGGGGGGGGGGGGGGGGGGGGGGGGGGGGGGGGGGGGGGGGGGGGGGGGGGGGGGGGGGGGGGGGGGGGGGGGGGGGGGGGGGGGGGGGGGAGGGGGGTACCTGTGGTTCGCCCTCGGCCGCCGTCCAGGTAATGGACTCCCACATGGGCAGGCAGATCGACCGGACCAGCTCCTGGAATTTTCCGAAGAAAGTTTCCTACGTACGCAACAGAAGAGGCAAAAGAACAGCGCCAAAGCGATGACGATGACGACGAGATGCGGGTGAACGCGCGTTCGAGCAGTGCAAGCACGGCGGGGGCACAAAATGGAGGAAACCTAACAACGAGAGAAGCAACGACTTCGAGTTGAGAAAGTGGGTGGTGCATTGCTTGCCATTAAACACAGTTGTTCGTACGTACACTAGTTTAGGGTTCACCAATACTGCGGTCTGGAGTAGCTCGGATCCCGACGCCCTGCGGCCAATTGGCACAAAGCTGCCGACAACGCTAAATCTCCATCTATTTTCCGATCGGCGATTCCGCGGGGTTCCGTGATAGTGGCGTCACACTGCTGTCAGCCCCTGTCTGCTAAGTGTATGCAGATCACGTCGAACCCACACCACTGTACATGCACGTCCTACCCGTACATGTCAACCGCTTCCGAACATGAAGCGGGGCGGCGGTCCAAGAGGAAGGGTGCGAGTCGCAACGCGCACGAGCACAAATAACATGCTACACCGTACAATGAGGGGTAGCAAAACAAAAATCAGAAAGCACGACACACGATCCCTACCCTATTGGCCCCTTCCCTGCCCACACCGGAAGAAAAGGAGACGCTACCATTCGCGTCACCCCCTCCTTTCTACCCTGAAATATATTTCGAGGTCCGTTGCTTCGCAGCACGAACAGAGGAAAAACGTGTGGTGCCAAAATCAGACAAATCGGAACCCCTCTTTGACTTGTTTCGCTAATTGTTGCCGGTCCAAAAGCAATTAGATAACAGCAAAAAGATGCCTACCATATCTTCACATAAAGTTAAAAACTATTCTTAGTCCTTCCTCAGAAAGTACCTCCTAATAAAAGAACCATGCTGGTCCATTCGACCTGGACGCTTTCCGTGGTCACACGCCAATCATCCAACCCCCCAAAAAGGACACATACACATACACGGAACACGAGTTCCTCTCTGATTTGTACGTGCTGCAAGACGCATAAACAACAAAGGAAACATGCACACACCTCCGAGTAGAGCGAGATGAGATCCAAGAGGCTGGACACCACCGTCTGCCGCACCAGGCTGTCCGGGTCGTCCCTGAGCTTGGACGCCAGGCCCAGGGCCACGCCCGTCGACGCGCGGCCGGCCGCCGCGAGGGAGAAGGCGTCCGACACCGCTCCCGCGCGGTCCGCCGGGGATATGGCTCTCGACTGCATGGCCCTTGTGGGGATTCGTGACGTGCGGTGGGACGTGTTGCGGTGCGCGGTGCGTGGTGGAGTGCGGGGGCGTGCCGTGGTGGTGGTGGCAAAAGTAGGCATGAGTTCAACCGGACGAGAAAGGTGTGTGAACTAGCATGAAGGAAAGTGGCTGGGAACGATGGTGGCGAGGCAGTTAAGCCGGCACCGAGAGATTCAGTTCGGGAATGGACAAGAACGTGGTGTTCCTACACGTAGTTTCCCAAAACGGCTGCTTCGAGTGGTATACATAGAGCAACGGACAAGCCCCGCTTATCTACCTGCTGAGGTTTGTCCAGCCCTCTTCGTTGTAGTTCACTTTGAAGAACCCGCGTTGCCCGGCGTTTATCTATTTGAAAACAAAAGGACGGAACGAAATTCGGACGGCAGGTCAAAACCTTTTAGCATAAAGCACGCAGGATGCTGAAACAGGAAGGGGGGGCGATGCACGCAGACTACGCAGACAAACTGGTTGTCTGTACAGTCAGCATGGCGAGTCCATCGATCGCCCACCGTGTTCCGTCACTCTGCAATCGCTTATGGCGACCTCAAGCCATGCACATCTCGGTCATTGTTCCGAAAGGAAGCTTAGCGCCAAAAGACTAGGAGGGGGGAAATCGGTGGTAGTTGAAACACATATGCGGCAGATGCGCAGAGGCCGAGACAGATGAAGTGACCTACAACGGCAAACCCAAAATTTTGACGGCATGGTTGCGCCCAAGCGGAAAGGCGTTCTCGCCTCTGCCCGCCGCCTCATCAACCGAACACGGCCAAACACCCGCAAGAAAAGGAACATACGGGCACGCAGACAGCCTTTAGACTGCCGTTGTGCACCATACGATGAACAGCTAACTTCCAGGCCGCAGCTTCACCTTGAACCACTTCCCCGCCGCCTGAAGCTCCTGCACCTTCTCCCTGAGCTTCCGCCCTCCCTCAGCCCCCGACTCTCCTTCCAACATCACTACCAACTCCTCCCCCTCGCCCGCGCCCTCCCACACCACCCTGGCGGGGATGGGCCAGACCGTCCCCTGTCCCTCATCATCCCCCTTCGTGGATGCGGCGGTTTTGGTGGTGGGGTCTTCTGCCATCGCGAGGAAGCGCGCCTGGGAGGTGCTACCGTCCTCCGCGAGGGTGAGGACCGGGTATCCCACCTTTATTTTTATTTTTGAGCAGCCGGGAGGATTGAAGATCAGAAAGGGATATGACAACGATTGCAAGAGGAAACGAGTGCTGGGAGTGACAACGGGGAGAAAACGAAAAAGGGCGTAGCCACAACATTTGTAAAAAGGGTTGTGATGGGGGAGTCGGTCATTTTCGGCACTATGATCTCCGAGCTGTTTATTGCGGGTTTATACCATCGAGCGGATCGCAGGGCGGCGCTCACACCACACCACACCACACAAAACCAAATCATGCCGTATTGCACCGAACCTTTACCATACCATACCATACCATACCATACCATACCATACCATACCATACCATACCATACCACACCACGCAGTACCACAAAACATGCCTCATCACATCGCGCCCGCACTCTCCGCGCAACAGTGCTACTCCGTACCAGCAAAAAAGAGAGAGTAAAGAGAAAACAACAACCACGAGCAAGCACGACACGACACGACACAAACAACCGCACGCACAAACACCAATCAGGACCAACCTTCCGGGTCCACGTGTCCATGAGGGTGCCCACGTCCTTGCCGGTTGTGTTCCCCAGGGCCGCCCAAAGGTCGTCCGAGCGTGCGTTGCCGTAGCTGTGCTTGACCAGGTAGTCGTGGATGCCTGTATGCATACATCACGTCATTACGACGGTGTGTACATCGTGGGTTTGGTTTCGTAGAGACAAAGAGGTTGTGTGTGTTGCGACGTTGCCGTGGGGGGCACGACGGACAGCAGTATCTGGGCCCCTAACACATACGCCCTCCCCCTTCCGGTAAACGAAATCATTTCCTGTGTGCCAGAAGCAACAATAATACACACAAGACAACACACCTCGCATGAACTCCGAGACGCCCAGGTGTCCGGCGAGCATACGGATGACGCTGGCGCCCTTCGCGTACGAGATTGCATCGAATATCTCGTTGATCTGATCCGGGTTGTCGACCTACGTTTTCGTTCGCGTGGTAGGGGAAAGGGTAGCGGGCAAAGGGGGAGGGTGCTTTCACTACCCATCGCCGTAGAATGAAATTGTGTCCGAGAAAAAAGTGTTGGCCGCTACGCCTGTAGCCCGCCTTCTGCACGCTACAGCAGTCTTGCTTTCCCCACAGAAAAGCTCCCCTGCACTTCTTCTCTCGTGACGGTTCACTGCAAAATTTATCACAGACCTCTACGCAGGGATGGGTACAGGGGGGCGCCGTGCTGTCTTGTTTTGGTTCCTCTTTGAAACCGATGAGTGGCATATACTTCGTTCTTCTTCGTCCTCGTTGTGTGTGGGTGTGTTTTCTTCATTAACGTCATGTCATATCGATAAAGACGTCAGTCTTGTATCGGGATAGAATACACCGACACCTTGTTCTATTCAAAGGGTAAGGGTTCTACCGACAAGTGTCTGTCTGTCTGTCCGTCAGTTCGTCTACAGTATGCATACATCTACGTGTCCGTTTGTCAGTCTGCTGTTTCGCACCTTGACTTCGATGGGGTGGGAAGCGACGAGGGAGTCCAGCGCCATGGCCTGCGGAAACACCATTGAGTCGAAGTCTGCACCACAACGCCGCCGCCGCCGCCACACCGTACCGACCGACCCAGGCACCGCCAACCCCCAACCCACGGCAAACGCCATGCCGTAGGCGACAGAAAACACACCCGCAGAGCGGCGTTCGAGAAACCGTGGTATAGGAGCGTGACTAAGCCCACCGATCATGGAGACAGCATCATCGTGTAGTCGGAAGCAAAAACCAATCGTTAAACACCACCTGCTGCGGTGTCGCGTGTTTCGTGACGCTTTCTTTATTGCAACACTTTCCGCTCGTGAGTGCGCCATGAGTCGAGGCGGTAGTGATCATCATAAACAGGGTTCTTTCCAGATCTTCCCCCACTCACGGCACGGGCATGCGACGTGCTGGGAGACGTCGAGGCCAGCCGCCCAAGCTCGGAATGGCGCAAGGCTGCGCGGCACACAGACTAGCACCGCCGCACGAGGGACAAACACATCACATATCACATGGTACATGCGCTACGGTACAAACGGTTAACAAGCTTAGCATCAGGCGTGTGGATGTCACGAGAGCATACCTGACCAGATGTCCCACTCGGGAAAGATGTGGTCCACCGCCACGAACTCCATGTACCTGCACCGCGGACATAGCACGATTGCGGGGGAGAGGGGCAATCAAGAACTCAAAGCGTACAGACTTACCCGGGATAGATCGTAGCCAAAAGAATGAATGGGAAGAGCGACTTGGCAAGGTGTACAGATATGCTTCTGGCCTCTCGACTTCCAGCCCCCGGACTGTAGCTGTCGTGAATCTTATCCTACCCCGATCCCGCCACACTTGAAACGAGGACGACGACATCGGCCTGACGCCATGCTCTCACAACACGACTTTCTGCTGGCTGGGGCGACGCCAAACATCAACTATCATCACCATCACTACCGACCCACATCACCATCACCATCACCACTATCAACACCACCACCGTCACCATGACAATAACAGCAACATTGGCTAACACGTACGCATGCACATCAAGCAAAACCCCTTTGCCCAAGTCGGACTCGAAACACACACTATCAGTATCTGATTCCACACAACGAATGCACCTCTCGGACATGCCGTCTTCAAAGAAACTCGAGGTCAGTTCCAATGTTCAAATACGATCAAGGCTCCTAAACAACCCCACCCCCCCAAGAACAACCACGAAACCCCCTCCTAACGGGTCGGCTACACCCCCCACCCCACCTCGCAAAGCCCTCGTTGAGCCAGAGAGCGTCCCACCACTCCATGGTGACCAGGTTTCCGAACCACTGGTGCGCCAGCTCGTGGCACACGGTCCGGGCGATGGCCTTCTTTGTAGCGGTGGAGGAGGTGGCCTCATGTACCAGCAGCCGGGCCTCCCGGTAGGTCACGCAGCCCCAGTTCTCCATGGCCCCCGCCGCGAAATCTGAGGGGGGGCGAGGGGAGGGGTCCCGCGAAATATGGATCCGTTTGCGCGGATGGGCGAGGGTTCACCCGAGGTGTGGATCGGTGAGGAGTCCCGTGAATTCTGATCGGATGAGGTCCCGCGAAATTTGATCGGGTGATGGGGCCCCGTGAAATCTGACTGGGTGAGGTTCCCGCGAAATATGGATGGGTGAGGAGTCCCGCGAAACATGAACGGATGAGGGGTCCCGCGAAATGTCGATGGACGAGGGGGTCCCGCTAAATCTCATTGGGTGAGGGGTCGCGCCGAATCTGGACGGGTGAGGCGTGAGGCGTCGATCGTTGTTGCTGCTGCTGCTGCGGTTGTGGTTGTTGGCCATTTTTCAGGTGTTGCAGTAGTTGTTGTTTGTTGTTGTTGTTGTTTCTCACATTAGCTCTAAAAAAAAAAAGATTGGGAGCCCGTGGTCTCAAAACCCGGCATACACGACCCCACGAAGAAACAGAAAAAAATAGGGTACAAAAACCACTCGGAAGAGAAACAAAATGATAGAAAGAAAGACCAGCTACCGCACCAAACGAGAAAGAGCGTCGAGGAGACCGATCAAAATAAAATAAAAGGAGAACGGGGAACGCTTCCCACACCCGCCTACAACGCCGGAGGGTTCCGTGCCGGGTTCCCGCCGACCAGGCATCCCCCGCCCTGCACCACACCCCAGGGGGTGCAGCAAGACGGGGGGCGAAAAACAAACACATATATATCCCCAAAAAAAAATAAAAAATCGAAGGACAACGTACACCAGTACCAGGTACTACAGCAGTGCAGTATGCACCAGCGCATTAGTGTAGGGTAGGCACCGCACCAAAGAGGCAGCAGAGGTGGCAGGCAGCCAGCAAAGGAAAAAACAAAAATAACAAGGAGCTCGAGGTATCGTCCAAGATCATCGTAGAGAGGGCATGGAGAACAAGAAAGAAAGAAAGAAGAAAAGCACAAAGAGAGGCCGGAGGCAATACTAAGAGCATACAGCTTACGGCAGGGAAAAGGGAACACAGGGTGCGACAACATCATCAGTTGGGTACGTCAGTAGTGTGTGGTGGGTGGTACTCTCCTCGGGTAGTTGGCCTGTGACTACGGCAGGCGTCCGCGTCAGCTGGACCGGTGAGGACGTTGAAAGGTACGGAGCAGAGACAGGAATGCTTCATTTTTTGAAGGTGAAGACAACAACAACGACAACAACAACAACAACAACAGCAACAACTTCAACATCGTCCAATTTTTTTACAACCTATCGATCAAGTCAGTTGAATGAAGTGAAACTACTCATTACATGGGGCGGGGTGGAGTGAATTGAATGTGACTGCTTAGCCCCGGCTGCCTGCCTCTCCAAGAACACAGATCAAGGCGAGGCACCAGGCTGCGATAGAGAGTAAACATGGCAATGAAAAATAAGCGTGCCTGTGTGTGTGTGTTTGAAGTATGGTTGGCGTAGTACCTGGGATGGCGAGAAGGTCACTCTTCTGAAGAGGGTAGGGCACCTTGAACACCGTCTCAGCGTAGTACTCTAGCGCCTTCGACGCCACATGCAGAGCGAATCGCCCCTGATCTCGACAATCACATCAAACCGAAGAAGAACATTCACGACAGCACAAGAAACACGGAACAGAGCAAAAACGTGCTAAAGTAAGCCTATCCGAAACACGCATTACAAGATGACAAACACGCACCAAAAATGACAAGTAGAATAGACATTCACGAGCAGCCGTTGGTTCCTCGATTTTGACTGTCGATACTCCAGGCTAGCACTGTTACAACTAACAGCGGTGGCGAGAAAACGGTTGTGAGAGAAGGAAACGAAACCCATGAGGTGTTTAACGATGCTGAACACACGATGAGGCATAGGAAAAAATGTTACAAAGTGCCATTCAAGGCGCTTAGCAGGATCTATCTGCCCGTAACGAGAAGAACGGCGAGGCTTCCGCTGGTGCTCGTGACAAGAAAAACAAAAAATAGGTAGCAGTTATCATCAGGGTACCAAAGTTGCTGGGGCTCGCCCCCTCGCATTCAACGGACGCGCAGCACGTACTAAAGGTACCCCTCTCCCCCCTCCCAGTCACACCTGCTCCGCCTTTCCCACCGGCGTGTAAACGGTCGTCAATACCCCGGAGGCATTGTACGCCGACACAAAATCGAACTCCCCTATCACCTGGGCATAAAAAAAACAAAGCGTTTGCAAGGGGATCGGGAAGGAGAGAAGGAGGGTTTCGAAAAAAGTAGATGCATGGCGGGTGGTGGCTTCCAAACGGATCGAGAACGACAAGGAGAGATTTCGCACAGCTTGAGACCTAGCGATGGGTGATACAGGTACCTTCAGTGCAAACAGTTCGCAAAGCTTGGCAGCTAGTGTAGCTCAGATCGTGAATCCTGATATTTCTCTCCAGCACAATCTGTGCCGCAACCCATACATAGTGCCCGTGGGCAAACCATGCGGAAAACGGTTTCCGGTACAATACCACAGCAGTTCAACCCCAAAAATAATGCTATGGTGCCCAACAGATGAAAAAGGCAGCAAGCAGGGGCATCGCTCGAGAGACATATAGGCCTTCCGAGATGACGCACGAAAACAAAAAAGTACGATCCACCGGCGGCGAAGCTAGAGGAGTTCAATACAGACGGGGGAGCAAGGGGAAGAAAAGCGGGCACTGGCGCGGTCGTCTCAAGTGTGGAAGGCATATAGAACAAACCTGCCAACGATGTGTTAAGGTCGAGAGGGTGTAACCATGCAGCCATAGAAAGCGACGCGCGTTGACTCCCTCTCTCGCGCAGCAACGCCGAAACCAGCCGAAGCGAGCGGAAAGACGGTCACGGCAAGCTAGAGTAGAGTACGACACGACAAACGAGTCGCAGACCAAGCTTTGGCGCAACATCGCCCGCCGCCTCAACCACCCACCACCACCAACAACAACACCATCACCAACACCATCAACATCAACACCAACACCAACACTACCAAGAACAACACCGCCCCAACCGCCCCAACCACAACCACACACCACCAACATCAACACCAACACCACCTAAGACGACGACAATCAACAACGAAACACAAACAATCAACTTCCCGAAGCTTGGCGAAGAAAAAAACACGGCTAGCGGGGAGGCAAGCAAGCAAGCAAGCAAGCAAGCAAGCAAGACGCATAGATCCGGTCCCCCTCACCAGCGCCACGAGGTAGGTGGACATGACGGGCGTCTCCGCGAACCTCCACCTGCGGCGCCGCTCCTTCCTGCCCGAGGGGAGCTCCGCGGTCTCCTCGTTTGACATCATGACGGGGGTGTTGCTCACCACTCGGCGGTCGACGGGGGCCAGCACCTCTAGCTCGAACCTGGCGGCGTGCAAGACGTGAAAAAAAAAAGAAAGAAAGAAAAGAAACATGTTCTCCAAGCGTTAGGCAAGCATCTTTTACATGCATATAGAGCGGTTGAAAAACGTCGACGGACTGGACACGCGTGTGTGTGACGCCAAACGGAATCACACGCACATTACACGCCAAACCGTACGCATGTATGCCACAAGTTGTTGCGAACCCTGACGTGCGTGAGGCCATACGAACAAAAAACCACACATCTTCAGTGGGTAGGTAACCTGTGATTTCACGGGGGTTCGTGGCTCGGTATACACCCCCCCATAGGGTCAGGGTTACGAGTTAGGGTGCCGTCTCCCACTTGTCTGTTACATTCCTTTTCCTTCAAGCCGGACACGCTTAGTATTATCACTCGTGCCTGGGGATATTTACGGCAGCTGTTGGCGGGCTGCTCCGGAACACGACGGCTCGTTTCTTCCGCAATCGAACTGTTGCCGTGGACGTTTGGACCGCGAAGAAATGATGGCGCGGTACGGGGGAAAGGACTCGCGCATCTTCCTAAGGCCGCGGGGTGGACTTCACTTTTAACAGCTGAGTCACCATTACTGCTACAAGCGGCACCACCATCAACCGAATCAGCCACCACCACCACCACCACCCCCCCTAGCAAATTCGTCCACTCGTAGACGTCACCCATGGGGAGGGGCCTCGCGGACGAAGATAAGTCCTCAACCGTTTTTGCACACGGTACCGAACACGCCTTCACCATCGCCACGTCCTCGTTCCCCGTTTTCGGCGCCCGCCGAAAAGTCACTCACTCCGCGCACCCTGCACGGGTCTGGCTCGTCCTCTCCCTACCCACGGGGCCCCCGAACCCCGAACCGGGGGTCGGCGACGAAGTCGACAAGAACGCCTCCGAAGGGAGCGGACGTGTGGGTATCCTTCTGACGTATGCGCTGCCTGGAGTAAGCCGCGCTCCGACAGATTGTTCCCCATTTGATCGATCGTACGAGTCTTTTTTCGTATATACGCAAAGCCTCTTCTTGTAATTATTTCTTCGGGAAAAATGCAAAAAAGATTGTCGCTACATCTCCGTTTGAAAAAAAGGCGTGCATCGCTGTCACTCTCTTGTATCTATCTTTGCAAAAAGGAGCCGTCGTTCCGATACAAGCCCACGCTTTCGTCCACAAAAACGGCAAATCAGCTCGGGTACACAGGCGCCAACAAGCAAGAGACGCTTGTGTCGGCCCAGTCGTCCGTCAGCACAAACCTGGCCTTGATGGCGGGCTCGTCCCAGCACGGGAAAGCTCTCCTTGCGTCGGTGGCCTCGAACTGCGTGACGGCCATGGTCTTGGTCTCTCCATCCGGGCCCTTGGAGTAGGTCGTAGAAACCAAGACGTAGGTACCACGTAAACAGAAAGTAGCAGCAGCAGAGGGGGGGGCAGCATATCACGTAACGAGGGCAGCAGGAGCAGCAGCAGGAAAGCAGACTGATGCATTTGCTCTGTAGAACATGACCACTACATGTCAAACGGTGGAGAGTTTCGGTGTGCGCTGATCAGAGGGAGGGGTTCCGACACCGGAAAAAGCACAGCTGAAGCAACGGCAGCAACAGAAGGTTTACTACAACCACTACGTAGTCGAAAACAACTGCGTACACCGCTAGGGAACAGGAGGAATTGAATGACAAAAAAGGAACGTGGTGAAGGCAGCAAAAATATGCCCCTAGAAGCAGACGAGTCGACAGCAATGAACACGGGGGACAGGTTGGCAGAACAGAGAGGACAACCAAAACAACAACAACAACAACTACAACTACAATAAGTTTTCCACCATAGGTCAAGACTCACGGTGTACTTGGACCGATAGAGGCCGGCCAGCTTGTCGTTGATGCTCCCCTCGAACTTCAGCTCGAGCTTGATGCCGCCCACCGGGAGAGCCTCCCCGAAACAGAGCGTCACGGTCTGGGCCTTCGAATCGTACTCAGTCCTCACCGTCGACAACTAACCGCAGGAGGACAATGCCGGCAAAGAAACAAGCAATTGAGAGTCATACACGGGCGCCTTTGGCGGCTTCATCGGGGACACAAGCATCTAGGCGTAGCTCCGCCCCCCAGGCCTGGAGAGAGAGCGCGTTCTGGAAACTACACGTGTAGGTATTTCTTTGCCGGTCACACCTTTGTCTGGACGCCGCCGGCTTTGCCACCACCACTTCCACCATCGACCACAGCCTCCGCCGAAGTGACCCAGAGCTCAAGGGCGTGCAGCTCCACCGCTTTCACTTCCGACTTGACCTGGGGCGCGAAATCGGCGGCATTAAACGATCGACGAATCGATTCAGGTTTTCACACACATTTCTTAAGTGTCTTTTTGTTCCCCATCAGGGGTCTAGCTGAAAAAAAAAGGCGATCTACTCTCTCACACTGCTGTCCCCACCATGTTGCTATAACCAGCTGCCTGTCAGATACTTCAATGTTGTAGATTAACAGATCGAGAGCGGGCAAGGGGATGGGTGCAATGCGGCGGCGGGGGCGTGTAGATCACCATAAAAACATGTTGGTGACGAGAGCATCAGCACTTTTCGACCAAAACATCAGCAGATCACCGGAGGATCAGGCAGGCCCACCGGGAGTGCTATGTGCTGTAGGCCAACAACAACCCTAGCAAGGGTCCGGATGAATTGCGAGGCTACATGTAGACCGGCAGAAATAACTCAACCGGACAGACCGAGCTGTCTGTGCGTGGTGCACTCATCTTCCCAACAGCCAACTACAGCAGCCAGAGCAAATTCGTTTTCGGTGCCCGCGCTAGGTGAGCTATCAAGAGGCCTGCCCTCATGTCTACAACGGGATTCACGTATCGCGCACACGTCGTCGGCAGAGGGAAAGCGATACCATTAATAACTGCTGTTGTTGCGCACCTCTTTTCTCGTCCTTCACGAGAGGATCAAGATCAAATCAGAAAGAAATGCCACGGCCGCAGCCTCTTTTTCGTTCGTGTACTTGGAAAACGCCATATCTTTCATCTCGGGTCACCCACGGGCTTCTCCGTGCGCGTATTAACATACCCTGTACAACCATCTTGATCGGCGTATGTATCTTGAAACATGTGTTGGGTTCTCTGTTGAATGTGGGTTGGGACCTACTGCCTGGGGGAGCCTGTCGTAGACCGGTGCTTTTAACACCAGAACTACCGGCCACATTCACAATCGACGCGTTGGAAACAGAGACTGCTCGTTGGGTACGGGAAACGCACGATTGGGGTAGCCCTTCTAGTAGATCGTGCACATCACACAAGCCTTCTGCAGAGAGTCTGACAGGAAGAACAACTGCAAACATGCATGCACCCTCCAGCAATATATATACTTCAACACAAACGCAAGCCAGCAGCAAGGCAGAATAAGGAGGTACAGGGCGCACCGGGTTTGATTGGTCTAACGCACGCCCTGCTGCACAACTTCTAACCCCGAAGATACAGAACTTTGTCGTTTTTTCACCCATCAGCATGCACAAAGTGTCTCTTGTCGTCCTTGTTGCACCGCCATGCAGCAGCAGCAGCAGCGCAGCAGCCAAAGGGCTGATCCGCGGAAGGACGGGTTGCATACCACCAACAAAAAAGAGGCACTGCTGTAGACATATGTAATGCCAAAATGCACTTCTAGGAAAAAGTCGGTCCCTGGACTCCTGCACTAGGTAGTCTGCTGCCTGGCAAACCACCCTCTCCAACAATTTTACATGTATTTGCCGGCGGTGGTTTGGACCTGGGAGGACATCAACATATTCACATCATTGGTCTTATCAACCCACCTCGCAATCGATTGCAACACTGCCGGCGAAGGTGCAACGGTCGAGATCCAGATCGTGGTATCTCAGGGTGTACTTGACGGGGACAACGGTGTCTGGTAGACGGCATGATGTCTTCTGTCCCTCCATTGTTCTTCGAGGTAACGACGTTGCCGGCGTTGCCTTTGCCGCGAGTCCGCCTGGCTTATGGCTCGATCTACAGGTTCTACGATCTACGGAGATATAGGGGTTCCGTTCCGCTGGTACACTGCTGGTGCCCTTGTATACCTAGGTGCGTGCTACCAAGTCAGCAGATGTACAGCCCACGCACGGTTCCACAGCATATCACGCTCCACTTGTCCACAGGACGAAGGACTGCTGTAACGCGTGTTTACGCTTGTCAGACGCCTCTTCTCCCGTTTTCCTGGTGGTGGTGGTGAATGAGGGCGGTGTTCTGCTGAAGTCGCGTGCTACATTAGATCACCACGTGCGACAGCATCTCCCAAAAAGAGGGACTGCTACACTGCGACCCTACTTGCCGTTGTCGTGACCAACCGGGTGCCCCTACTCAAAATGCTCAACACAGCGACCATGAAGATGCCTGAGGACCAGTTCCTGAACGTTCTGTCCTACCTGGTCGTGGACTCGGTGTTCGCGATGTCATCCACGTGCCGCCAGCTTCACGAGTGGTGCAGGTGACTTGATGCTGCTGATCGTAGTCGAATCTCCGAGCTCCGAAATGTACATTCTAGTCGGTCGCCCCGGTGGTCTAGTGGGTAACCTCGCAGCCTCCCAAGGGCCAGGTCATGGGTTCGAGTCCCGACAGAGTATTTTTTTTCTCGCTAGTTAAATCCTGGTCTCCGTTGGAAGCGATGCGCTGCAAAGCGCGTTGTTAGTAAACTTGATCGACTTCGTAAGTCGCGAGGAAAGGGATTGCTGTACCCTTCTCGCGATAAAAATATCTTAGCCAGGAACCGCAGGAGGGGGTCCAACCCCCCCCTCCTGTGTGACCCCGGTTGGGTCGTCTAGCTAAATAGTAGAAGTGGAGGATAGGGACCAGAGGGGTAGACGACAGAATCCAATTGTGGGAGAACAAAAAAAACTACCCTTTTTCCTGTGTGCCAGGCAGCAGAGTGTGGGGTTTTGGCGTGGCCCCAGTGATGCCTGAAAACAACAGCCAACGAAACTGATTGTCTTCCCCGAGCCTTTGAAGAGGGCTTAGAGAGCGTGTGCTCGATACGGGTAGGCTTTGTGGCGGCTGCGTCCTTTGTGGCCAAGCCATGTCACGCGGTCTGCAAACAAAACGTCACTTGGAGACGCCTTTCAGAGAGCGGTCAAGTCACAGGTCATGCAAACATGTAAACCCGTTACTGCTGTATGCGCACTTCTTGGCCTAAATCTTGCGGTGTTTCGAAACTACTTCTTATCTGGTAGAGGACGGACACGTGGCCGATATGGCGCAACGGCCGCAGCGCTGAAGGCAGGTTGCCGTTCAGCGTAGGGGGGCAGCTTAACGTGGGTTTAGATACTACTATGCATCTCATGCATAGAGTTTTAGGCTTGTGGGCCGGTGCGGCGGCAGTCGTTGACATCGGTCGCGTCTACAAGGACACTAGGGGCAACTGGAACCTGCCCAAAAAACCCGCGTGTAAACCAGTCTCGGTTTGACCATTACACCCGATATCATTGACAGCGTATGTGAAAAAGTGAAAAAAGGGAATCGTCCTAGTCTACACGTAGATATTGTATTAACTACCCTTTGTAAAGTATTAAATAACCTTTGTAAAGGTGATCTCCGCAATACCGTACGTTGTGTAGCATGCCGTGTGTACGCGATCAGGCTTACTTACGTCGCTCTCGCCGCTATTTGCTGCTGTTACGAGCTGCCTGGCTGCAGACCAGAGCCAGACAGAACAACCCTACAGGAGCACCCTTTACCCGCTGCTTACGGCCGATGCGGGCGGACTTACCCTTTTTGCCGCAGAAAGTGTTTTGCAGATCCATTCACCAGGACTCTACACAGCTGTCAATACAAGACACGAGTAAATTGTAAATAGCGGCTCTTTCCCGGAGGGAGGGAAGAGTACGGACGGAAAGCGGTATTGGACTGCCTTTTTTTGTGGTGTTTGGCGTACTACTGTAGGCCCTACCTGTCTGTGTTCCGCAGGTGTCATTCCATCTGTACTGCTTTCCAACTTGCAACCCCGTAAATGGTCCCTGAGCAGTGCCGGCATGTTCCCGCCGAGGACACCGGCCATATACCGGGCGACCGGCACTGCTGCTGAGGGACCGTTCCTGTGTGCACCAATCTGTAAATCAATCTAAACCAACCCCGTGATTGACGTTCACCCATCATTATGAACATTGTTTAGTTTTTTCGACGTTCGTTGTGGTACACATCACCTGCTCTCGTTCTCCCAACATTGCAGCAATTAACGCGTTTTGAGGCCGTGGCCGCGGAAACAGCACCAGCTCGTTAGTGTGGTATATGGTGTGCGTTGCCCCCCCAATAGCACCACGTTTAGACAGCAATCGCGTTGGCTGAAACCGTTTTCGCGCGTGCGCTTTTTAGTATGTATTTCCCGGTGCTCATGTTTCAACGTATTGCGGCACTACTAATGCCCACTGCTTTGGCGCGCGTTGTAAACGGAGCAGTCTGTTCAAGGCGGTCGATGCCGGCGAGGAGGAACTGCGAAACGCGGACCTGGCGCTGCTAGTCAGGCGCTTCCCAGCCGTGAACGATCTCACCATCCGCTCCGCCTCCCGGCTTACGACCGCATACGAGGTCCTTGCTGAGGTACGTGAATGCCCGAGATAAAACGTTGGAACAGCTATCCCCCGATACGGTTGTGGTTGTGCAGTAGTTGGTGTGTCTTTTGACACACGTCCCCTTTTTTTTTCTGTCGTCACGTCTCCACCGTGAGCGATTGATTGTACCGGTCGATCTCTCGCCGGTATCCGGCGTGTCTGTCGCCTTCTCGCGAGCGTGCACAGCATCTTTTCGGACTCATGTTCCGCGCTGCCACGAAAATGTCTGCCGGTCTGCTGCTCTTCTCGCCTGTGGTGCCTCATCTATCATATCGCGTTGGACCCGTATCCGTCTTCCTTTCAGCGAATTTTCGGCACATCGGAATGCCCTCGTAGTGCCCTCACTCATCGAAGTAGACACTGCTGTTGTGTAGTTCCCTACCTTCCTGCCTCCAGCCAGTCTTGTTTTTTGTGCAGTAGAGGTCCCTGTGCAGTGCCGAGGTGTGCGCAAAAATTTCACCAGCACTATACCGGGCACCGGCACTATTCTTCAGAGTGCCTGAATAGTGCCAAAGGGGCACTATTCAGGGTCTGAAAATCCCTTAATTGTGCCAGACCGGCACTATTGACGAACTGTGTGATTTCAGAGTGCAGCGCTTTGCATTGCGGGGCCAACAGAGTACCACATGAAACGTACATGGTGAGATCATAGCATGGGCGTCGCGGGCAGACTGCTGTGCCACGATAGGGGTNCAGACCGGCACTATTGACGAACTGTGTGATTTCAGAGTGCAGCGCTTTGCATTGCGGGGCCAACAGAGTACCACATGAAACGTACATGGTGAGATCATAGCATGGGCGTCGCGGGCAGACTGCTGTGCCACGATAGGGGTGTTCCTGCCCTGTCGAACACACATATTTTGCTTAATAAGTTAACTGGACGGGGTGCACATGCTGCACCTTGTTGCTGTACCCACCTCAGCGCAGGTACTGCACACTTGCACAACCTGACTTAAACCCTTCACATGAATATCGCAAAGGATGCACCTCATAGATGCGCCTCTGCGTAGAGCTGTTCGGGTCTGCAGCAGCACGTGTACCCTCTCCTCTGTCTGTCTTCTGTGTTGTGTGTGTCTCTTGTATGTTGTGTGTGCGTGCGTGCTTGAACCGGCACTATTGTGGGGTTCAGTGGGGCCCGAACCGGAACTATAGTGGGCAGCCCTGAATATTACCGGTCTGGCACTACTCAGGGCGGGTTCTGTGCGCCGAGATTTGACCGGCACTATACCGGCAACCGGCACTAAACAGGGACCTCTACTGTACTTCGTTTTGTGCCCGGCATATCAAACAATAGAGAGTACTTGAGTATCTTTTCTCGCCACACTCGTCCAATCGTTGCTTTTACCTGCTGTACCGATCGGTTGGCAAGTTGCTTCGCGTCTCGCTTCTCTCTCTATTGTTAGAACGCACAGAGTGTGTGCCTGAAGGCGCACAACGGCAACAGTGGCGTGAATATATCGACTCGCGTTGACTGGTCTCACATGGGTTATTGGCATTGAAAATTCCCAGGCAGTAGTCTATTGTAAAGACGGTTGAGGTCGGTGCGCCCGCAAGGAAGAGCTGGTCTCGAACGGCAGGTGGCCACAAAAAATCCGTGGAACACTGTAGCGGCAAGGCCAAATGGATGCAAAGTCGCCCACCCACTAAACGCGTAGAGATAAAGGTTGTCTCTCTGTCTGTGCGTACGCGTGGTAGCGAGCAGACCGAAGTCGGGGGTGTGGGAGGATGCTGTTGCACAGCAATTATTCTCGGCCACCAAACTGTTGTTGTTTCACTCGACACACTGCTGTTATACGCAAGATTATCAACTCTTGTTTTTGTTGTTGTTCTCTTCTCGTCGCGTCGTGTTCGTGGCCGTGCCTGCAGATCGGGCCCCAGCTGGTGTCTCTCAAGCTGGCCGGGGCGCGCATCATCCGAGACGACACGTTCCGCGACATGGTGCGCACGTTCGAGAGCATGAGGTACCTCTCGCTCAACGGCACCTTCTACGTCAAGAGCCAAGCCATCAACGCCCTCGCCAAAGCTGGTCAGCAGCTGCAAGAGGTACGGCGGTGTTTGTCGTGCTCGGTTTTAGAGAGGTGTGTGTGTGTATACTCTTGTGCGCGCGAGCGTGTTGGTGTGTTTTTGTTGAGTAGCATAGTACCGACTGCGCCAACCGGCTGACCAGGCTGTGTTTGTGTGTGTATTTCTCGAGTGCCTTAAGTTTCGCGGGGAAAGTGGATACACAAGAAAGTGAACTTGTTGTTGCGCCCCCTTTTGTACTCCTGCATCACATACCTCCTCGCTATTTACTTGCTTCCGCCGACGAAGGATGGGACCGGGCGGATTCTGCTGCATCCCCCGCTAGCCTTTTTAGAGCATTGTGAACTTCTCCCCATCGTTGTTGTCGCTGTACAAGACATGGGTCCTCGGATGCTTTCTTGCTTCTTGTTCTACCCTGCCACCAACCACCAACCCTCCCCCCCCCCCCCCCC